TGAGGGCAGATATCTTCCAGATGAACACTGTGAACTCTTAAGAAAGCCCTGATAATCTATGTATCTGAACCATTATACACCAGGGGATATAAGGATTTATACTAGAATCCAACCCACCCTAACTGATACACTCCACTCATGTCCACACCACCACCTTTATCAAAGCCCTTCAGAAGCATCCCTTTCTCTGAGGATAAAAACCTAAAAGATAGTATAATCTATGAGCACTAATGGGATCTAGCCCCTGTCTGCTTTCTTCCAAGCCTCATGCCCTTTCTTTCTCTCTGCCACTGCCAGCCACCAGATCTCACATACCAGCCAGAGTTCACTTTGTCAAATGCAGCACACTCTTTCTGCCTCAGGCTGTTTGCACACTCTTTCCTCCATTCCTCTTTCACTCAGTTCTCTGAACTCTCACCACAGAGAGAACAGTCCTAAGAATGAAAGAGTGGATTGGATTGCTTTTAAAGAAAAAGCTCCAGCATACTCACTTCTTAATGTGTTTTTATGCCGAAGGGTTGGGAAGGATGTGTGAGGCTGCATTTTACAAGTTGAGAGCACATGTGTGAGAAAATTTCTTTAATGAGAAACTGCTAATGGCTCAAACATGTGAGGATGTCATGCAGTCTAGGTAACGTACGAGACGTTCTTTAAATAGACTTTTATGTATCCTTTAAAATCAGGCTCATGACCAACCAGTGTTAATTAGGGAGTGGAAAGCAAAAGGGAGGGAATGCAGTGATAAAGACTATGCTAAGATGTCCATTGTTGGGAAGTTTGGAAAGGGGAACTTGGAGCACATACTCCTATTTTTCTATATTTCCTGAAGCATCAAAACCACCCTGCTGTTCTAGAACAAGGAAATAATGACTAACCCTATATAGCATGCTGCTTTGTTATGTGTTTTCTCTTCTCCCCAGATGGTGAACTTCCTATGTCTTACTATCTGTGTCTCCTTGACTTAGGAGACCTCTGATCTATCCTTGATTAGCTATTCAGTAAGATACTGTCCATGGGTGATGCAAATGAACTTGATGGACAGTCCTTCTGTAAGTATGGATTCATTTCCCTGCCTTTTACAAAGGTCTGGGTTATTAGGTCTAATGTATTGCCAGTCACCAATGATGTTGCTATCTATGGCTTAGTGAATTTTACACAACTAGTCAGAAGGACACTGAGTCTCCAATTAGAGACACAATGGAGATGATGAGGAGTGGGAGAAGGACAGAGGAGCCATTAAAACAGTAAATGAAAGCAGTTTCCAAGCCATGTCACATTGAGGAGAGCTTTCAGAACACTGGCTAGAGATGCATCGAGGACCTTGCCCTGTCCATCCAGTTAATTATATCAAAATTGGGATTTACCTCAGCTTCTTTGAATAAATATATGACTCAACAGCAGGCATAATAACCGAGGCACAAAGAGAGGTTTAGTCTTAATCAGGATTAATACACATGGTTCTGTGGGTTCTGTAATGTTGTCTCAGTGAGACTGGGTGGCCACTGAGCTCCAGGGTTCTGTAGCCAAATGCAAAGCTTAAGGTTTAGTGATTCTGCCTCAACCATTAAGGTGGAGAGTGATGAAGAAGATGTCAGTGTTTGGCTGGCTTCCATTCTCCCCCAATAAAACCCCAACACAAACCTTACAGTTAGGCAAAGGTCACCAATGATGTGAGGTCCAGGGGGCCAGGTGCTGGTTGCCACATACAGTGGACCAAAACATTGCTTTCATGTTCTAGGTTCCCACCTTTTTTCTGATGTGAGACCTGGCTTTCGAGATCTTTATTCATGATGTCTAATTCAGGGGTTCTCAACCTCCCTAATGCTTTGACCCTATAATACAATTCCTCATGTTGTAGTGACCCAACCATAAAATTATTTTCATTGCTACTTCATAACTGCAATTGTGCTACTGTTATGAATTGTAATGTAAATATATAATATGCAGATGATCCTAGGCAACCCTTATAAAAAGGTTGTTTGACCTCCAAAGGGGTCTTGATCCACAGGTTGAAAATCACTGGTCTAATTCCTTGTTTCATTGTCTGTTCCCCTGCTGGTCTTCCCTCTTACCAACTCCAATGCTAAGTAGGAGCACAAAGGATCTATCCTCTCTCTGAGGCCTAGGCTCACAATGACTAGTTGGGGAGTGCCTGTCTACAGTAACACCAGCCTGAGTGCCTGTGTGGAAGGAATCCCTGCCAAGACTTCTTCTCCACCTTGTAGCACAGGCATGGAAGTTCTTGGTTCTATGTTTTCCAGCTTGATTTCTCTATACATTACAACCAAGGTTTGTGGTGTTTTTAGCAACAGGTCTTACCAACTAGTCCCATTGGGCAACCAGGAAAAGTGACAAGAACCTGTCCGGTTTTGGGGCCTCTGGAGCTTCCCTCACTGACTTATAATGAGGATTCTTTAACCTGACCTTGGGCTTTCAGGAACAGCATCATCTAGAAATGCTCTCCTGTAACTCTCTCCCTCTCAACTTATATTTTTAAATTGACTCACACAGTAGTAAGTTTCTGTTGGGAGCTGCAGAGTACCGAGCCTAAAAGATGGTGCTGGTTTCTGCCTTCCGCCAGCCCGACGGCGAGTGCTCTCTGTGGTAAACAACTCCTTATTAGGAGAGAGGCTACGTATCCTTCTAAATCTGCTTGGTGACAACCTATCCTAGCGTGCCACCTGGGCGTAGATGATTGGTAGTTGCTGGATATATTAAGGCCTGCCTTCCTGGGTTCGGGGCCACTTCCTGTAAATCAAGGTTCCCGAATAAACTGTGAGAAGAAGATTCCTCGGTGTTGCTTCGTTCTTGCTGGTCAAGGGTGGACGCGACAAGTTTCCATATTGCTTTTTTCCATATAATCTTAGTTTTGTTCAATCCTCCTTCCCTCTTCCTCCACCCCTCCAATCTCTGATTAAACTCTCTACCCCTCCTTTTACATCATCTATGCTCTGTTATTCCATTGACTTTAAGACATCTCTCACCCCAATGTCCACTCCTCAACTTCTTTACTTCTACAGGTCCTCCAGGTTAGCACACAAATCTAAAGACCCTTGTATGAGAGAGAACATATGGTGTTTATCTATTTTAGTATGGGTTTCCTGGCTTCATATAATTTTTGTACCTCCATACATTTGAAATTTTCCTACTTTCATTTTTCTTTACAGCTGTGTAAAATTCATCATTATATATCATCTGATGAATATCTAAGCTCATTTCATTTTTTTGTCTGTTGTTTTCCTGTCATTGCTAAGGAAGCAGCAATGAGATGCTTCAGCAAATATCTGTGTAGTAAGAGATATAGAATTCAGTTTATGTGATCTTTGTATAACATGGTATGTATAGCTTTTGACTACCTTAGGTCTTTATGCTTTCAAATAGATTTTTTTTCTATTTATGTGAAGAATGGTCCTGGAGTTTTAGTTGGGATTGCATTGAATTTGTAGATTGCTTTTTGGCAGGATGGCTGTTTTCACATTAATTCTTCCAATATGAACATAGGCAATCCTTCTCTTTGCTGATGTTTTTCACAATTCCTTCCTTCCTTCCTTCCTTCCTTCCTTCCTTCCTTCCTTCCTCCCTCTCTCCTTCCCTCCCTCCCTTCCTTTTCTTTGTGTGCTATATGAGCACATGTGTGAGGGCATACATACCTAGTGCATATATGCAAAGGCCAGAGGAGGAATAGAGGATCTCCTATTGGTCTTCACATTAGCTTTTGAGACCATGTCCCTCAGTGAGCCTGAAGCTTGCCATTTTGAATAGGTGTGGTGGGCAGTTAAGCTCTTGGGATCCACATGTTTGCATCCCTCAGTGCTTGGGCTTTTACATGGGTGTTGGGGATTCAAACTCGGGTCTTCTTGCTTGCACAGCAAGTGTTTTTACCACCTAGCCATCTCCCTAACTCTGAAGCAGCATGGCTTTCTATTTTCCTTTGTCTGGGCTCCTTGGTTAGTCTTCCAAGGTGGCCCATGGTCCATCTGCCACCCACCTTATAAGGATTTAAGCCTCTACATTCAAATTTAAGCTCCTGTTATTCCCTGAACAACACCAGGCTTCTCAGCTTGCAGGAAAATTTTCATACTCTTTTTCTTCTTCTACCTGGAACACCCTCACCCCAATTCTTGCATGCTCTCATTCTGTTAATATGGAAAATTAAGAATAGAAAATAAAACAAAGAAGCCCAACATATGTTACACAGCTGCAAGCCTAGCACTTAGAAGATGACTGTGGTAGAAAAGTCATAGAGTTGAAGCCAGAACTACATAGTGAATTCTAAGGCAGCCTCACTCTATAACAGGACTGTCTTAACAAACACCACTGCAATGGGCACATAAGCAAACAAGTGTTGATTAGCTTGATTTAATCATCCATGCTATATCACATTGTACCCCATAAATGTACACAACTATGATTTGTTAATGGGGGATGTCCTTTTGTATATATGTTTCTCTTATTGGTTGACGAATAAAACACTGTTTGGCCAATGAATCAGGAAGATAGATGGGATTAGTTTGGGGAAAGGTAGGCAGAGGGGGAGCCTGCCAAAGAGATGAAATGTAGTTGGCAAAGGAGTAACAGGTCTGGGCATTCTCTCGTAAGCCAAGACCACATGGAAATACATAGATTAGTAGTTATGGGTTAATAATTAAGACAGAGCTACCCAATAGGAAGCCCTAGCCCTAGGCCAACAGTTTATAATTAATATGTCTTCATGTGTTTATTAGGAGCTGAAGTGGCAGTGGAACCTAGCTGGGACAAGAAATATCAACAACAATTTGTCTAATAAAAACATTGAAAACCCTAATGTCTCTTTTAGTCCACCAGGCTCAGGCAGAAATAACCTTCCCTCTCTAACCTTCTGATGTACCCTCACTTTATGAATGAATTTTTTTTATTTCAGTTGAGAGGAGAATTTGTATCTAATTTGCATTTGTATTCCCCAGCCTCTCTCAAAGCTCCATCAGTATCAGAAAATAGCAACACATGAATGGATTTCTTACCTGCCACTTGGCAGTTAATTGTCACATTCACTCCTCGAACTGTTCTGATGGTGCCACCAATGTCCATCGTGATTGCAGGCTTCTCTGTGTTGAGCACTGTCACTCGAGATGTTTTCACTAGTGGCTTTCCTAGAGATGAGAAAGAAAGTGAGCTGTCACTAATAGTGTTGTGGGTTGGGGTACCGAAACACCGGAAGACCAACAGAGGACACATGTTCTGCTCTGGCATACCCCACACCATGCTTTGCCTGGGAAAATAAGTGGAACCATCATGTATCCACTCGTGTGCCTACCATAGACTTAACAGGAAAAAAAAAAAACAAGGTTAAAGGGTTTGAAGATATGAACATGGTGCCCAAGAGAAGATAACACACACTTTCAATCAACATAAAATATAAAAGACACATTTTAAGGGCTTAATTTGTACTTTGAGACAGTTCTGTATTTGCAGGCAGTTGTAAAAGCAACACAGAGCAGTCCCGTGTAACTTGTATCCAGTTTTCCCATAATGCAATCACATTACGAAACTACAGCATGATTTCATAGTCTCAATGTGGACATTCATATAGAGTGTCTGCCCCTCCAAGCATTCCTTAGGATATCTATAACCCCTCCTAGATTCTCTGACCACCACTCACAGGGCTTTTGTTCTCTTGCTTTCAGCATCTGAGAATGCTGTGTAAATGGAATCACACAGTTGGTAAGCTTTTGTGCTTGGCTCCCTGCCAGCTCTCCGAGTTCCCTAGAGATTCTTCAAGCTCTTATATCACATCATGGTTGCATTTTTCAATGGTGTGGTCCTTTTTATTGCAGAGTAGTATTCTGTGACACGGGAAAACCACAGTTTGTGTAGCTGTTCAGCTGCTGTAGAATATCTGGGTTGATTCCAGATTTTGATACAGCTGTTATAAACACTCCGGTACAGGTAGCTGTGGGGACATCTGTCTTCATTTCTTTGACATAAATGCATAGGAATGCATTTTAAATGTCATACAGCAGTCCCCCCTCCCTCAATACTTTCTGTTTCTTTCATCTGATAGTTGCACAGTGGTGTCTTATTGTGGTTTAAGTTGTGTTTCCCTAATGGCTGAGGCTATGGGCTATCTCACACATCCTTATTTACCACATGCACGTTCCTTGGTGAAACATCTATTCATGCTATTTGAGAACTTAAAAAATATTAGCCAGAAGTTTAATAAGTAGTAGCATTTAAACAGAAAAAAAATATTAGAGTTGCAGGTTTGAATTCCTTTTCAATGCTTGAGCTCTCTGCTCTATAACAGCATGCGTTTCAACCGCTGGTAGTCACATCTAGAGAAGGAATTGTCTCCTAAGCATCATGCTGGAGCTGGCTTGTTCTTCATATTTAGTGCTCTGTTACCAGGAGACACAGGAGCAGAAGTCTTTCCGACTAATCCTTCCATTTCTTCATTTTCAATAGAGGGTAAAGGCATTTTTATAAGATATGAACTGCCATCAAAATGTTCCTTTGGGTGAATACTTGAAAGATGACTAAGTAAATGGCATTCTTTACTGTCTTATGTGGCTTCGTTTTGTTGCATTATAAAAATGGGCAGAATGTGTGGACTTCATCACAGCCACACTTAGCCCTGTCCCTCGCTGGTTGGTATATAGATTCCCTCTGGGTGCCTTAAATCTTTCCTGGGGTTGGGCTATGCTCTAAGGCATGGCATAGGACCACACATGCACCACAGTAGCTTCCTCATCCACATGGATTCTTCTCCTACTACTAGGGATGAAGGCTTTGCCTAGACTTGTTTTTCTTCTCCCATCATAGGCTGTCCCCTCCACTTGTTTCAGATTTATACAGGGGTCACCTTCAAGGATTCCTATCAACTGGAAATAAAATAACTGGTCTAGAGATTTGACATTTCTTTGAATCTCCTAGATGGCATCTATTTCTACTTGCTACCTCATTAAAGGATTAATTGTACTGTCACAATAGTCTTCACTCACAGTAATATATCCCATCTAACCAGAGGCCAACTCTCTCCATATCCATTTTCCTCTTCTTTCTAGGGCAGTGGTTCTTTACCTTCAGTGCCTCACTGCATATTTCTTGGGATAGGCAATCAAGGCTTTGGAGATAAATGGTCAAATAGCATAAACCTGGAGCATATGACTGCCTTCTTCACATTAATCTAGGTATCCTTGCACAGAAGCATAACTGACTCCAGTAACTTGTACTTCAGTGAGGGTAGCTGATCGTCTCCAGGGGATGACCATGCACCTTGCTGAGGTACTCTTCCCATTTTCAGTGTGACATATCTGTGGCTATCTTACATCTAAAAACCTGAAGACACTATCTATTTTACTGTTTAATAAAGAGATCCTTTATCACCATGTGCTCCGTAAATTCTCACCCAGGCTGTAGCTTTCCTTCTCACCTTAACAGGCCCTTTCACAGACCTAAGTGTTTTAACTTTAATAACATCCAATTTATCATTTTTCATAGGGTATGCTTTTTATACCAAGTCTAGGAACTACTTATATAGATCTAAATTCTGAAAGATACTTTCCTATGATTTTTTCCTACAAGTTTTATGGTTTAAGTTTTACATTCAGCTTTGTGATACATTATTTTTTTCTATTTATATATTGTCTTCAGGTTTTTTATATCAGGAAACAAATTATTTATTGATTTGAAATTTGGAGTTTCTTATTGATTTGAAGATAACTTAATACCATTTTTTAAAGTTCAACTTTTGGGATTCCATTAAACATCAAGGAGGAAAATGCATTGGGTGAAAACAGTTATTTAAGGGGAGTCTACAGAGTGGGAAAAGATCTTCACCAATCCCGTATCTGACAAAGGTCTGACCTCAAAAATGTATAAGGAACTCCAGAAACTAGACATCAAAATACCAAATAATTCAATTTTAAAAATGGTGTACAAATCTAAATAGAGAATTCTCAGCAGAAGAATCTCAAATGGCCAAAATATACTTAAAGGATTGTTCAACATTCATAGCCATCAGGGAAATGCAAATCAAAATGATTGTGAGTTACCATCTTATATCTGTCAGAATAGATAAGATTAAAAACACTAATGGCAGTTTATGTTGGAGAGGATATGGAGTAAGGGGAATACTACTCCACTGCTGGTGGGAGTGCAAACTTGTACAGTCACTATATAGTGGTTTCTCAGAAAATGGGAAATCAATCTACCTCAAGACCCAGTTATATCAATCTTGGGCATATACACAAAGGATGCTCCATCATACCACAAGCATACTTGCTCAACTATGTTCATAGTAGTGTTATTTGTAATAGCCAGAACCTGGAAACAATCTAGATGCCCCTCAACTGAAGAATGGATAAAGAAAATGTGGTATGTTTATACAATGGAGTATTACTCAGCTGTAAAAAATGACATCACGGAATTTGTAGGCAAATGGATGGTACAAGGAAAAAAATCATACTGAGTGAGGTAACCCAGACCCGGAAAGACAAACATGGTATGTACTCACTCATAAGTGGATATTTGGTGTAAAATAAGGATAACCAGGTTACAACACACAGTCCCAAAAAGGCTATGTAACAAGGTGGGCCCAAAGAGAGACATATTGATTTCCCTGAGAAGGGAAACTGGGTGTGGGGTGTGGGTGGGAACATGAGGGATTGGGTTGGGCTGGCTGTAGGAAGGAGGGGGAGAGTAATGAAAGAGATGTCTTTATACCTGGGGCATTTTGGGGTTAGGGAGAAACCTGGTGCCAAGGAAACTCCCAGGAATCCACAAGGGTGACCCATCTAAGACTCCTAGCAGTAGTGGAGAGGGTGACTAAACTGGCTTTCTCCTGTAATCAAATTTGTGACTACCCTAATTATCATCAGAGAGCCTTCATCCAGTAACTGATGGAAGCAGATACAGGGGTCCACAGCCAAGCAAGCACTGGGCTGAGGTCCGGGAGTCCTGTTGAAGAGAGGGAGGGGACATTTTACAAGCCATAGGGGCTCAAGGTCATGACGGGAGAACTGACAGACATCTGACCTGAGTTCATGGGAGCTCACAGACTCTGGACTAACAGCTAGAGAGCCTGCATGGCACTAACCTAGGCCTTCTATATGTATGTGACAGTTGTGTAGCCTGGTCTGTTTGTGGGGCTCCTAACAGTGGGATCAGGGCCTGTCCCTGGCAATTGAACTGACTTTTGGGAACCCAGTCCCCTTGCCTAGTGGGGGTGGGGGTGGGGCTTGGTCCTGCCTCAACTTGATATGCCATGCTTTGTTGAATACCTATAGGAGGCCTACCAATTTCTGAGCAGAGATGGAGGAGGAGTGGGAGAGAGTGGTTGCGGGGGGGGTGGGGGGGGGGGGGGGGGAAGTCATGAGGGAAAATGGGGACAGGAGGAGTAGAAGGAGGGAAAACTGTGATCAGGATATAATATAAATGAAAAAGTTAATTAAAAGAAAAAACCCAACTATTTAAAAAAATTCTAGTCAGTGTTACCTAACCATGAGTCAAGTTTTGTATAAGGTATGACACTCAGATAAAGTCCCCTTGTTTGTAGCCTTGGGCTACCCAGTTGTTCTGATACCCATTATTGGCAGGCTACCTTTTCTACCTTGGATGGCTTCTGCATCATTGTCAAGAAGAGTTGAGCATGTTTGTGCAGATCTGTTTCTGGGATCTCTATTCTGTTCATTGCATCTTTCCCCGGCCAATAGCATGCCACCTCAATTACTTTAACCATATAATCACAGTCTGGCAAGCTGATGCTTCTTGCTTTATTCTCTTTTGCTACTCTACTACCTCTTTTTATAGACATTTCAAACCAAGTTGTCCACACTTAGGAAGTCATGTTAAAATTTTGATAGGAATTATATGAGTCATATATATCAATTAAGTAAAACCAACCTATGTGTTGTATTTTGTCTTCTAGTCCATGGAAAACTGTGTATGTCCATTTATCTTTCCATGTGTTTTGGATATTCTAGGATGCACATTTTGATGTGTTGTTGGATTTTTTTTTCCTAGTTATTTCTTTTTCAGGAATGGCTAATACTTTGTTTCAAATTTTGTTATTTATTCTGGTATATGGTAATGTAGGTACATGTTGGTCCTGGGCCCTTTTTATAGATATTTAGGACTTTTTATGTAGAAAATA